ATTGATTATATTCTTTGCAGCCAAAGGTGGAGAAGCTCTATACAATCAGCAAGAACAAGACTAGGGGCAGACTGTGGCTCAGATCATGAACTCCTTATTGCCAAATTTGACTTAAATTGAAGAAAGTAGGGAAAACCACTAGACCATTCTGGTATGACCTACACTGAATCCCTTATGACTATACAGTGAAAGTGACAAACACATTCAAGGGATTAGATCTGACAGAGTGCCTGAAGAACTATGGACGGAGGTTCGTGACATGGTACAGGAGGCAGTGATTAACACCATTCCCAAGAGAAAGAAATGCAAAAAGGCAAAATGGCTATCTGAGGAGGCCTTATAGATAGTTGAGAAAAGAAGTGAAAGGCAAAGGGGAAAAGGAAAGATACACCCATCTGAATGCAGAGTTCCAAAAAATAGCAAGGAGAGATAAGAAAAACATCCTAAATGGCATCTTTCTCCTAAAACCAGTTCCTGCCTAGTCCTGTGCTTTCCCCTTTCCCAAAGAGCCAGTTCTTTCTTTCTTTCTTTTGTTGGTTACTCCATCTTTTTACAGCCTCCATCTGATTACTCACGACTCTGATTAGTATTTATTTTACTCTGACTTTCACGATGCATTGCCATCTCTGTCCCAACACAAGATTTTGGAAGATTTCTGTATTATGACTGCAAATCCCACAACTTGTAGGTTTGCAGGTACACAGCAGGTGACCAACAAGTCTTGGTAGAATGGCTTAGTGAATGTTAGGAAGTCAGGTTTAAATTGCTTTAGGGGCATGGATCTTGTCATACACTTTTTTTGCGCCATCCCCTGGCCCACATTAACATGGTAAAAGTCATAGGCAACAGCAAACACATATACATCTTACAGTGAACACTGTATCTGTTATTGTAACTGGGAGTTGCTGCAACAACTGGATGTAATTTTAATTTAAAAAAAAAAAAAAGAAAAGAAAACACACATGCTCTGCTATTGAGGGGGAAAAAAAATCCCTCAGCCTCAGCTCCCAGCTAAAATCAGCCAGAATCCAGGTTTCCCACCCCTTCCAGTGGCCTGATGTGCGACGTGGGAGGAGCAAGGAGCAAGTTGGGTCAGAGCAGCAGGGAGAGCGGGCTAGGGGGAAGTCCCGGAAGTCATTGACCAGAGCAAGCAACCGCCTCTGCGGGATCAGCTTGGGCTGAAGTCCCAACAATAACAGGCGCGCGGGCCGGGAGGGGGCCGTCGGGGGCTAGAGTTTGGGGGCGGAACCCGTTTTGGGGGAGGCGGGTGGGACGCTTCCCAAGGCCGCAGGGGATTGGAGGAGAGAGATGAGGGGCGGTGGAGCTCGAGGAGTGGGCCGGGGAGCTAACGGGTCGACCGAGGCGAACGAGTGTTGATTGGGTGGCGCAGAGGGAGACGGACCAGAACTGCCCGCGGATTGGCCGGGGCGGGCTGTGAAGGCGTGGCCAGCACGCGCGAGAGGGAGCGCGAGGGAGCGGGCGGCCGGCCTGCCTGCCAGCCAGCCCGAGCCCAGGACGAGGGCGGTGGGCAGGGGTCGGATTGCTGAACGCGGCTCGGGAGGCGCGTCCCCCCAGCTGTCCTCCGCGGCTCGAGCACCCCATTTCCTTCCCTCCCCTCCCTAGCGCTCCGGCCTGGGGTCTCGGGGAGGGGAGCGGAGGGAAGGGACGAAGGAGAAGGAGGTTTCGCGGAGTGCGGGCGGCGTGGGGAGAAGCGCGCGCTGCCTCTTGCTCTCCCGCCGCTGCCTTTGCCTGCTCGCCCGGTGCCGCGGCCCCGGGGCGCCCGCACTATGCAGGCGGACTGCCGGCCGCCGCGATGGCGAGCCGGGCGGTGGTGAGAGCCGGGCACAGCCCTCAACGTTTCCTAGTCCGGGCCGCGGTCGCCGCCCCCGCCCGGGCCGCTCTCCCCCTCTCCCGCTCCTACCCCCTCCCTCTTCGCTCCAACTCCTCCTCCACCTCCTTCCCCAGGCCTCTGTTCCTCCTCCTCGTACTTATCCTGCTCCTGCTGCTCGAGGACGCCAGAGCCCAGCAAGGTGAGTTCTTCCCGCGGAGTCCGTGGCGCGCGGGGCCCCGGGGGCCGTGGGGGCGCAGTTGGAGCCTCTGGGGCGCAGGGTGTCCGGGTCGTTACGGAATCTGCAGACGCGCAGGGTAGTTGTGGTGCGCCTCGGTGCCTGGCCAGACCTGGTCCCGCACTCGCTGGGTTGAATTGCAAAGCTTGGTTGTCTGCTTTCCCCCAAGTTGGCGCGGCTTTACTTTCGGGGAAGCCCATTCATTTTTTTTGAAAAGAGGGAAGTGAGACCTTGCTATGAAGACCTCCTTTGGGCATTGGATTGTTCTGGGGAAAGTATTTGAGAGGAAAAGGAGAAGTTTGGGAGATGCGCTGTCTAATGTTTAAGCCAAGTGGATGGATGAACAGAGTAAAACGGTCAGGTAATTGAATAGCATCTTAAATCCATTGAAGGGAGTTGACGACGATTATCTTTTGTGAAAGTGCCACGTTCAAAATCGAATAGAGTTGATTCTGGTTATCTTTGAGTCTTGGATTTAGAACATGCTCTTTGCAATCCCTGCCTATTCAGGATGGTGGTCTAGATAGATTGTTTGAGTCAGACTCTACGTCTGGGACCCAAGACAGCGTGCTCTGTTGCCCAGACGGAGCGATCCGTATTAAATGGGCAAGCCCTTACAGAAAGTGACAAAACTTCTTTCCTACTACAATCGTTCAAGATTCCAGAGCGTACAAAGCTATTTACTTAATAATCATAGTTGAAAGAGAATGCTGGACTGATTTCTTCCCCTTTTTAGTACTTTTTTCAGGCATTGAACGGCAATTTTGAAAACAATTTGACAGGTTATTGAACACATTTCTCCATTGCATTTCCATTTTATTACAGTGAGAGATAAGAACTGGATTGATACTTAATGCTTGGAAGAGGTTTTGTTAGTTTGTTTGTTTTTAGGTTGATCTCCATGTTTAAGTCCAGCATAATGTTGCTTTCGTGTAGTTTTCAGTAGAGTATGGAATCATGGCCTTAAGCATGTCATTGTGAAGATGCTAAAACTTTGACAGGCATATGGAAATATAATGTAAATGGAAAAAATGTATTTGGTAAACTGACCTCTTTCAATTCTAGGCAGCATTCAGGTTTCAGTTAGATCATCTCCTTAATCGAATTCTTGAACATCAGCACTTAATAAATTAAAGTGAAATCCTTTCCTTCATTGAAGTTTTAGCACCTATGCTTTTATTTTCCTCCTGGTAGAAAGAAAAAGCAAAACAGACATATTAACATGTGGCTAACACTGATTGAATGGGTCTTAATTTGTGACAGCCCTAAGTGATTTACATCTATTAACTCATTTAATCCTCACCACAGCAGTCTTGAGTTAAGTATTGTTATCCCATTTCAAACACAAGGAAACTGAGACACCATTAAAATAAGGTATGTTGATACAAAGTATAACTACATAAGCTGGATACTCTGACCACTTTTGCTTATTTCAGAATCTGAAAGTGTTTATGTTATGTTTAAAAAAAAAAAAGATCTTTGAATAGTTTATAACTGATTAAATGTCTCCTCCGCAAATGAGAAAATTGCTTTGTGTTTAGAGTTTCTCAAGCCTGGTCTAATTAAACATGCAACATTACTTTTTTTTTTTTTAAGTTTAATTTTAGTTTTTACCAAGTGTTTTAACAACTAGAGTATCTGGTTCTCTTTCACCATGTCATGTTGTATAAAAACATCAGTATAGATTAACACAAATAGAAATGATCCTGATAATTTAAAAGACCTGATTTCTAGTTCTCCCAAGTTGATTGGGTAAATTTTGTAAACTCACTTAGTTTCTTTGTACCTCAGTTTTCTACATCAGCGATAAGAGAATATATACCTGTTTCCTAGCTTGGTGAAAACGAAATGCTAGTACATAGGAGTCTGGCAAAGGGTAAAGTACAAACAGCTATAACTGATTATCATTGTTAATCATGAGCTTACTAAATTGATAAAGTAAGGGTTATTTAGGTATACATCACCTGAAAACCCAGGAATTGTATGGCATTTGAATTCCCCAATTTTTTAAAAATTGTATTTCTTATCCAGTGGATCCGGATGCAGTCTGTGGTGCTGTCCGTGTTACTGGTCTTAACAGATGTGCTTTAGGGTCCACTGGGATTCTTCACATAATGTGGAAAGAAGTCTGGCTTCAAAATGAGAAGCAATGCTTTAAAATGCCTATAGAACTTTTTCTAATGGGGATATCTACAATATTGTAATGTTAGGTTACATGCTGGAGTTTTTACTCTATCAGAAGTCTTTATAATAACACTGGAAGGAGATAATAAAATGATAAAAGTTGTCTTTCGATGGTAGAGTTGTAAATTTCTTTATGCATTTTCAAATGTTCGGCAAAATGCAATAAAAATAAGCTGTGAGAAAGTGTTTTGTGATATACAGATTTTTTTTTTCCTTAGCCAGCCTAGGTAGAAATGCATTTAATATGTGTTTTGAGGTAGAACTATATTTCAGGATTTTTTTCTTTTAGTCTTTCAAACCTCATTTTGAAGTAGAAGATACTACACTCATTCCAATTAGTGCCACACAAATGCCATTCCTCAGCAGATTTTCTGCTGAGCAAATGTTTTTTTCTTTTTATTTGGTCTAGAATAAAATTTATCATTGGTCTGAAAACTTGTCAACCTTTCACAACAGAGATGTATTTAACTAATCTTACTTCATTAATATATTTATAAATTCTGTTTATTCACATCTGTTTGACTGTGATGCTGTTTTCGACATGGCTTATATTTGTGTGTCTTGAGTTCTAAGTTTGATATTAAGTTCACCTTCAAAGTCTTTCTCATTTTTATTGAAAGCATTTTTTACCTACAAAATATATGCCTCTCTAAAAAACTTAAATTGATGGAACTTATTATGCTGATTGCCTGCCTGTTATTGTAATAAATTTACTAATAGGAAGTTGCGGGCCTACTGAATGAATGTAAGTCTCTGGTTTACATTATGACTGTAGGAATTTGTGTCACCTCATCTCAGGAGCTCAGCTTCCTCCTTTGGGTCGTGGAGGGTTCGCCTGCCTTCTGGGTTGGAATTTTTTTCTTTTTGGCTGTGCTGAGCCTTCCTTGCCTTTGTGCAGCTTTCTGTAGTTGCGGTGCATGGGCTTCTCATTGCGGTAGCTTCTCTTATTGTGGAGCGCAGGCTCGAGGGGGCTCCGGCTTCAGTAGTTGTGGCACACACTTAGTTGCCCCACAGACCAGGCAGGGATCGAACCCATGACCCCTGCACTGGCAGGCAGAATCTTATTCACCGCACCACCAGGGAAGCCTGTACGTTAGAATGTTATTTGAATGTGGTAAAATATCAGGGGAAGAAATTTTTAAAAATCCATTGAGACTGACTTCTTTATGCCTATTAATACAAAATATTCATGAAAATAATTATTTTTGTTAGCTAATTTAATAAATCTGTCAAATCAGATTCTTTTTTAAAAAGAATCATTCAGTATTACAATGATTTTTGAACTAATGTGTGAAAAAAATTTACAGTCTGTGGGGTAGTGCCTTTATTTGCTTGTGATGGAGGGAAATAGTTTTTGAGCAGTATGTGTGAATTGTCGGAAGTGAAGAACATGTCCCGGTGCAAAGAACATTTGTAATTATTACTAATATTGATGTTAGGCTAAATTAGAATTTTATGTGGTCTGTTTTTTTGGTTTGATGAAACATTAGGGCTACCTAGTGGCTCAGATGGTAAAGAATCTGCCTGCAATGCAGGAGACACAAGTTTGATACCTGGGTCTGGAAGATCCTTGGAGTAGGTCACAACAACCCACTCCAGTATTCTCGCCTTGAAAACTCCATGAACAGAGGAGTCTGGAGGTCCTCAGTCCATGGGGTCGCAAAGAGTCAGACACGACTGAGCAGCTAACACTAGGGCTCTTATATGTAGTTTTTTTTCAGAGGCAAAAAATCAAAGCATGCTTTTTCTGCTGTATTTCCGATTAATTTTGCATAGTGAAGGTTAGAAATATAGCGCATATTCCATATGTGTTAATGATCAAATTTAAAATTCAGATTTTAAAAGCTTGTAAATTAAAAATTAATTGTAAAATTACAGGTTAAGGATTTTTAGGTAGATTTCCCAATGTTATCAACAGAGAGGAAACTTTATTTTGTTCTGGGAATAATTATTAGTTCTGTTTGAACATTCAAGCTTCCAACGAAATGTGTATGAGTTAAAGTATCAGTGCTAGAATTTTAAAAATAATGAATTAATTAATTTCCAAAAAGAAAACACCAGATTATAGTGTGATGAGGAAAGTCTTGATTTACATAGAGTTAGACTTTAAATATAAGACTGTACTTTATAAAATGAACCTAGGGTATGAAAGTTCAGGTGGTAATATGAAGTATTAATTAAATGTATGCACATAGATGGTTTCCACTTCCACTTCTTGACTAGTTGGAAGGATGTGGACTGATGACATGAAACTATATGGATCAGGAAAAGCTTTGTAGAGGGAGTGATATTTGCTAAATGTAATTGTTGATGTAGGAAGTGAGACCACTTGGCGGTTTTTCTTGTGTGGCTCATGGATTCAGTTTGTTTTATAACAACCTTATGGCCTTAGCACTTTATTTATTTTAAAAATATCATACAGATAGCAGTTATATAACAATTACTCAAAACCAAAAACTTAACTAATAATTACAGTCCTACCCCTAATCTATCCATTTATAATTTTTGTTGGTTTTCCCTTGTGGCTTAGCTGGTAGAGAATCCACCTGCAGTGCAGGAGACCTGGGTTCGATCCCTGGGTTGGGAAGATCCCCTGGAGAAGGGAAAGGCTACCCACTCCTTTTTCCCTGGAGTGCATTCCTGTCCCAGTATTCTGGCCTGGAGAATTCCATGAACTGTATAGTTTCTGGGGTCTCAAAGGGTCGGACATGACTGAGCGACTTTCACTTCACTGCATCTTCCTTTCTAGTCCATATGCACACACCTGCATAATCTTACGT